AGTGGCTCAGTTGGTTAAGAGTTTGCTTAAGAGCACAAGATCTGAGCAGCAACAGGGTTGCTGGTTCGATTCCCACATTGGCCATTGAGTTCGCCTGAGCTGTGCCTGAGCTGAGCTGCTGCTGAGCTGCCAAAAGGTGGCAGGATGGCTCCCCTGGTGAGAGCACGTGCTTCTAATGACAAGATTGCCTATTCGATGGTGGGCTACGCCCACTTGCGGCTGGGACTGAACTCTGCACCTTGAGCTGAGCTGTCGCACAGATGGCTCAGTGGATAGAGTGTGCACTTTTAACAGCAAGGTTGCCGGTTTGACTCCCGCATGGGAAAAAGAAAAAAAAGATAATATAAGTATAATGCCTCTTGAAGAAAAAAGGAAAAAAAAAAGAAACCTATTTTTGGAAATACTGTTGAGTGTTGAAAGCACCTCTTGAAATCCTTATGAGTCCAAAAGCAATAGCATTCACAACCTTATGTTTTGATACACCATAAAGTCATTGATTTCTCATGATAGAAGAGCACTACACATTCCAAGTATACTTCAAAAATCTTTCCTTTGGAACATAGTACACTGTAGCAAAAAAAAAAATAGTAATAAGCCTTCCTATTTCCACTTACTCTTTGTATCTCTTTCCCTTACCCCCAACTATATAACTGCCTTAACTTGGCAAGACTCTCTGTTTACCATTCACGAAAATCTTTTCCTTTCCTGTTTTTTGCTTTCAAACTATTATTTAATTATGAAAGCTACAACAAGACATACAAGAATGTTCCCTTCATTTTAACTTTTAGATATACTTGTTATATTCAAACAAATTATGTGGTTATTATTTGCTTTTAAAAGCAATTCACTAGAAGTGCACTGAAGGTTTACTATGTGCAAGGAACTTGCTGATGGCTGATAAGGTTAGGCAGTAAGAATGGACATGTGGGGATTATATAAATGAATAAAACATGATCCCTTCTACTAATTTGGGAACAAACCATGTGTCTTTCTTCATCCTTGTCCCTCATAGTGGAATGCCATTCTCCTATTCTCTAACCATTGAAATCTCCACATTCTTTAATTGCTTCCTCCATGAAGCTTTTCCAGAATTTTATAAAGTTTATCCTCTCTATGTATTTCCATTGCTCAATATCCAAATGTAGCTCATGGTTTTTATTTTGGACAACACAGATTTAAACTGTTTCCACCATCACAGAAAATTCTGTTGGATAGCAGTGCATTAATTTATAAGCTTCTTGAAGGCAGGGGCCATATCATTTAAATTAATAAGGTTCAAAACAATAAAATAATAGGTGTAAAATAGGTACATCTCAGTGGTGATGTGGATCAGGATTCTTTGGCACATAGACACAAAGCTGCATTTGGGAAGATTGCATTAAACTCTAAAGAAACATGTATATTATGTCTGCTAGAATAAATGTAAGTCCTAGGGATTCAAAACAATCATAAAAGCCACACATAATATGTAACTCAATTTTAACAAATGTGGTCATAGCAAATTAAATGGATTAAAGAGATGATATTTGATTTTTATCTAACAATCCAAATATCCATAATATCTAGTCTATATTCCTATTCAAAATTCTTCAGAATAAAATTATTTTAATGGGCTTGAAATACAGTTTTAAAGAAATGTTATATTCTAAGAATGCATGCTCTAAGAATTCTAAGAAATTCTGCATTAGTACCAAAGAAACGAGTACTTCTATGTTTTAGCAGTAGAATGAAAAGGAAAGTCATTGCATTTAATTGAACTTGAAAAATAACATAAAGTTGTTGGTTTGGTAGACACATACTACCTCCTTTTCCAGATCTATAACACATGTAGATCATAAATTTTTGTTCAGTTCATACACTGGTCTTTAATTTCAGAGTGTTTTCCATAAGTAGGATGGGAATTCTGCAGGAGTAGGTCTGATGCAGGAACATGGTCTTGGACTCTGACTTGGCCACTGACCAGCAGTGGGGTCTTGGGCAGGTTACGTAAAGTTTGGAAGGTTCTCACTCATTCTAAGATGAGGCCACTGATCTGTACCACACACATTTGTTATGATGTTTACAGAAATAGTCAAGGAATCATCAAAGCACCTGTCCGGCAGGCCCAGTATCTGTTCTTTCCATACTGACTTCACAATCTGCCAGTGCCCTTCCTTGTGAAGGACATATGGCCTTCCATCTGTAGCTGTACTGCGTAAGTTAGCCAAATAACCTGAGATTCCATGCTTCATTTTTTTCATGAATGAAATTTTTTGTTTGTTGTCATTGTCTGTCTATAGATCTTTTCTCTCTTAGATGTTTCTTTGATGGCAACAATCACTAAATGATATAAAGAAGTGAATGATTTAATGGGGTTTTAAGAGACAGGTAGCCTATGCCATTTACCTTGAGAGTCTCTTAAAAATAGCATAAAGCTCTCAGAAGTGAAAGGGATTTTAGAATATTATGTGCCGCTTTATATACCAAGAATGGCACCATTGGTTATTTGACTGAGCTGGCCTAAAGATCTGCACTGCATAGTGACAACATTTATCATGTTGAGGGCCATTATTAGCACATGGGGTGGTGTCTACCTGAACAGGACACCTTAGGAGCAGGAACAAATAACAGCCCTTTGCCTGATGTTAAGCAGCCCCTTTCCAAATTTCTCTCTCTCTCTCTCTCTCTCTCACACACACACACACACACACACACACACTATCTGACCTTACTTCTAGGTTTTTATCCTTTTGAACCCCTTTTTTTTAATTTTTACTTCTTTAACCAACAGATTTGTTTTGCATGTATAGGGTTTTGGAGTGAGGGAGATGAAGTTTCTGAATCTCAGAATGTTTTGACTACTACTTAGTTAATCTCTTACCCAAACAAAGACTTAGGTTTTGTTCATCTCTATAATGGGAATGAAAATATTTATCTTGTATGATTATTTTGTTTTGAAGTTTAAGTGAGAAATAGATGTTTAAAAAATTTCTGACATGCTTTCTTAATAAATATTAATATTTCCCTTCTTTACCTTTTAATAGGTATGTTATGAGGATTTAATAATCTAACATGCTGTATAGTGAGAGGTGAAGAGTATAGAATTTGAATCAGACCTGGGTTCAAATCTTAGATCTGCTGCTTCTCAGCTGTGTGACCCTTGGGTATTTTTTAATCTATTAAAATAGTATCTTCATTTGTAAAGTAGGAATAATAATTCCTACTCCATGCAGTTGTTGTGAGGTTAATGTGAAATGTACAGAAACTGCTCTATATTAGACCTGGTGTCTACCAGACATTACTAAGCTATTACTAAAATAATCCATTCCAATTATTATCTGTGGTCTAACTTCTATTCAGCTTCTCCCAAGATATCTTCTAAACTAGATTGTAAGTTTCTGGAGGGTTAGAAGCCAGATGTGGCTCTTTTTTGAACTCCGTAGAACCAGCTAGAATAGTGCCAAGTGCATTCTGGCCAGTAGAATAAATGCCTCAGATTTTTGGCCTACTACCACTGTTCAGCTACTGCCCTTGGATGACCAATAGAAGCAGCAAGTTTGGGTAAAGCATTACTTGTAATGGAGGCTGAATCAAATTAATAGGTTTTTCAAGTATAATGCCACAATTATATTGTATGACTAGAACTCTATGAAGGATTATGTACTTGCCTTACATTTGTATAATATCCATGAATTTATTCTGTCCTTAGGCCATTTCTACTGCATTACTTTAAAAAAATGTGTGTGTGGCCCATCATACATGTTATGTAATATGTGCCATTATTTAGATGCTCCTGACATGTACTATATGCTCTCTAATGACTCCATGATGATGACTAGTTAGAAAGAAGTAAGTAAAATAAAAAGAAGAGAGACAAGGAATTGAACATAAGCAAAGGGAAAAAAGGAGAATGATCAGGTTGAATAGATGCATTCCACCATGACTGTCTTGGTCATTGCTTTTCTAACTTTCATATATGGAATCTATTTTGTATCATTATTCATGGTATGGTTTCTGTTGTTTTAAAATATTATCTTCCTGAAATCATATAGCTGTGATATACTTAAAGATATTCCTTTTTAATGTGTTAAAGTTAATTATTTGGGAGCATGAAGGGTAATTTAAAAATATACTCTTAGCTAACCAGGAAAAGTAATTTCAGAAATAAAAATGTTAGTATCTTTAAAATAAAAAGAAAACACACTGAAAACATGTCAATGCTTTTCAAAATCTTTTTTCTTCTTATGCAAAAATAAAATGATGTTCTGTACAATCTGTCATTCGATGCACTATCCCCGTGAGGTAGTTCTTACTTGGCTCCTCATTGATAAAAATAGAGAGTTGAATGATTTGTCTTAGAATGTCACAAAATATGAAAGAATCAGAGTGGGATTTTAGGGTTTTAGGCTCTCCTACCTGATTTATTATTTTGGCCTTTTATGTAATCTTATCTATGAAGAAATTGAAAAGTAAACAGGTTTAGGGTCTGATAGCTATGTATTAATGGTTTTCAGACCATAAGAGATGCAAGCTTCCAGTTCCTGTTATTATATTTGTTTAACAGTTTTCTGTAAATCAGCAAGGCCTATTTTATCTAGTCTTAGTCAAATCAAATGTGATCCCTATACTTTTTCATTTGTGTTTGAAGATATAGCAAAAGTATACATTATTACAGTATTTATTGAAGTGAAAACTTGTATATGATTGTATGAATGCCTATTAGATTGGAAATAAAGGCTGTCAAATTTAAGAATACTTGGAAAGATAGCACGTGTTTCCCTACCATGCATTTGTGGCATTTTTAAAGGGAGTTGGGGGCTAAAATTTTTGGTAGTTTGATAGTAACGAATTTATTTAAAATTTTATAATTTCTCAGTTGCTCCTAAGTAAGATACATGAGGAACATTTTCTGGATAAATACTATGTAAAATTAACAAGAATAAGAGGCTATTTTCTAATACTGTGTCCCTGATTCTAATGTTTGTTTCATCTCCTTGTTTTTATTTTTTTCTTAATTTTAGAGGGTTGCTGAAGTATCAAACTAATTTAGATACCCACCCTCCTGGCTGCGTTTATCTTAATGGATCCCGCTACCGGAATAGTCACTTATCAGAGTATCTCTCAGAACGTTTTCATGAATCTTTCCCAGGAGGGTTTTCAAAACCAGATGAGCTTACCCGGAACACATTTGTGAAAATTTGTATGGAAAAGCCGAGGTTCCAAGCTAATTTTCCACAGGTCAGATTAATTTTGTGTCTGATGTTCTCTGCAAAGTCCATATTCCCATAATAATTGATCAATGTTGCATTTAAACATGTTTTTGAAGGTATATTAAAGTAATTATTTTTACAGAATTGAACATTTCAGAATGACTCAATAGCAAGTTAATACCTATTGTCGCATTATAGACAGCTGACAGTTCAAGGAGAAAACCTATGACATTACAGAATATAGAAAATTCCTGCTTAACTGACCCTATAATCTATGGTCCTATTATGCATACTATGGCACTGGTGCTTGCCACAAGAAGGATAACAAAGGTATTTTCCCTACCCATTGAGAAAAATGGTTGAATAATAAAAATGAGTGAAAGAACTAATACAAATAATATGTATTGTTATAGTATAGCATAATATTATGGTACAATATTATATATGATAAATAATAAATTGCAAAATCAGTTGACTGCTTAATATGATCTGCTAGACATTGTGCTAAAATGCACTGTATGCATAATTTCTTTTAATATTCACAATAATTCCTTGAAGTAATTTCTATCATACTCAATTCTCTGATGAGGAAATTGTGGCTTAAATACATAAAATATTTTGACCAAACTCTACAAACTAATACTACTAAAATGGCATAAGTAGAGTGCAAAACAAAGTCTTTGACTAAAGTGCTTGCTCCTAGAAAACGTTTTCCCCAAATATCCAGTGAGTATTTTGATTAGGGCCCTGACCCTTCCTTTTGGCTGTGGGAGCTGCCCAAGTGGGAGTTACACCCTGTACTCTTTGTCCGTACCAAGTGAGTCAGGGGAATAATGATCTCAAATGTCTGTTTTAAGAAGAGAAAGAGAGTAAATAAGAAAGAGGGTCAAACTCAAGGTGAAGGAAGGAGACTAGACTTTGTGTGGTGAGCACATAATAGAGTATATATTAATAGCTGTTGTATGATAAAGTTGTACACCTGAAATTCCTATAATGTTATTAACCAATGTTACCCCAATCCATTTAATTAAAAAAAAAAAAGAAGAAGAAGAGAGATGAGCGAAATAGTAGAGTGATTTGTAGATGACTTTGGAATAGTGTGTTAGCCTTGTGTGTATTATTAATAATAATCCTGTAGTTTTCTGTTAAACTTTACAATTTTCTGAATTTTTATGGGCTCCACATAATGCTGTATGTCAGGCAGGGCAAATGTTGCCATTCCCATTTTACTTCTGTGGGGTCTGATGCTCAAAGGGTAAGTGACTGTACCAAACTTTCAAGGCTGCTGCAGTGCAGAGCGTTTCCTAGGATGCCTGCTCTTCACACAGCGTCAAACTAAATGTCAGGAAGAGGCATGATCTGTCTGTGTGGAAGGAGGAAATTCTGAAATAACTATGTACATAAGGTTTAAAAAAGTGACCATTAAAATAAGTTTGGGTTGGTGCCCCCAAGTACTGAGGGAGATGTAGTGTGCAGTTATAAGAGAAGGGTTGGCCGTACAGGCTTCTGCAATTCCCAGTTATCCTGGGATCAGGGCTATCCCCTCCACCACACATGCAAAATTGTGACACTTTCCAAATTCTAAATATTATCTTCTTGTTCATGTTCATTATGTAAAAGTAAGTTATGAACAACATGCCTAGTCTATCCCATATTTAAAAATATGCGCACGCATTGTACATCGTGTTTTCATTTTGTATATGTACATTATGCATATATATTATGCACTAGAATATCTAAGGTTGCTTAAACAAACATTGGACTGTTTTATTGGAGCTTTTAACTTCTTTTTAGAGGAACGTATTGTTTATATGCATTATATATTTGTTGTGTGCACAGAAGGATATATGAAACAATGTATGATTAACTGTTAATGGTAGTTATACCCTGGGCAATGGTTTGATACTAGGGTCTTAACATTACTTTCCCTTTTACTTTATACTTTATTCATCTTTGAATAAGTTGTAGTGAGTATTTGATTATTTTTTCACTTTTTACATTTTATTTAAAATAGCAGATTAAAATATTATTACCATAATGTGTGAAATAAACAATTGGGCAGGGTATAAAGATTCCTACAATACAATGCAAGTATTCCTTACAATGTATTTCAAAAATTCTCCATTAGACTTGGCTTTGGATTTCCGGACCTTTGTGCCTGTATTGTGCTGAAAGACTTTATAGGTGCATCCGAAGCAATAAGCCAGTCACCATCGTCTCGGTCATAAGTCATCCCTCAGATGTTATGGAAATCCAAATGGTCAAAGAAAACTTTAAAGCAAGACCTGGCCAGGTGAGTCAGTGTTCAGCAACTTTTAAAATACCATTTATCCTTGTATAATTTGTTAAAATTAGCAGATGTACCATCATTGGAATATTTGAACTTTCTTGGTCATTTAAAAATTATGTTTGTTGCTTTTTAGTATATTATTCTACATTGTCCCAGTGTGTCTGCATTAGAAAACCATCCATTTACCCTCACAATGGTAAGAAATTTTTATTTTTTTATTTTCTAGAATGAAATGCATCTCTTCTTTTGTGTGTGTGTGTACTCCATCTCATTCTATAAATCATTTAGGCTATCATTCAAATTATACTTAAGTTTAAGTAAGCTGTCTTTTTACAAAGAAATATAATTATCCCTTGAGAAACTTTGTAACTATTTATTACTTATTATTTTCTACCACTTTAAAATTCAGGAAGTAATATATTTAGAATTTATTAAACCTTGTTAATTAAAACTGCAGAAAATTTCCTGGATATTTTCACTTTTCCTTTTATAAAGTACGTCCCAAAATATAATATGTGTGCGATTTTCTTTAGAGAGATTGAGTTTAAGGAAAAAGAGAGTACTCTGAGTTGAGGTGGAAGCATGAGGAAATCCAGGCAGAGTTTAGAAAAGTTCGGTGTAATCAGTACCCAGGTTTTGTGTGGAGAAGGAAAAGGAGGGTATCGAGCTAAATAATGACATTACCAAATGTTTGTTTTTTGTTGTTGTTGTTAGCTGATCCATCCTGCCACCTGTTGGCAGCTCAGCGGCAGCTCAGCTTGGGCCGTGAATCAAACCGGGGACCCTGTTGCTCAGAGCTCAAACTCTGGAGCGAGCTCTTAACCAACTGAGCCACTCGGCCGGCCCCCAAATATTTTTAGCACATTGTTTAACATTATTTGATACATTATAAAAATGGCACAAACTCATTATAACAAGTAACAATTTACAAGTAAACAAGATAAAATATGAAGGAATTTTTTCTCATTTTCCCCACTTACCAATTTTTTTTCTCCAGAGTTTGACATATGTTCTTTCAGACATTTTCATATATACTTTGGCATATGTAGGTATTTGGCATTGGTTTGCTGGATCATTTATCATGTAATTTTCTCTTTTTTACTCAACAATATATCATGAGTAACTTTCCAGGTTACTATATTTATGTATACCTCATTTTTTTAATGACTACATAATATTTCACAGTGGGAAAGTACTGTAATTTATTTAATAGTTCCCACTGATGAGGAGGATTAAGATTTTTATTCAATTTGTAATGAAGGTAACTGAGAACGGGACCACATGTTTAAATATATGCTTGAGATATGCAAACTATTTGAACAGATGGAGGGGGGCAGAAAAATAACTGGTGTCAAAGTGCTGAGATATGGGTTTGGGTTGTACAGGGATTGGAATCACTTTCAAACTTGATGTATTAGGCAAGTTGAAAACTTGGAAACCTTGGCCAACTTATATTTCTCTAGTGTAATATTATGATAAAAATAATACCATTCATAGATATGCTGTGAGTTTAAATGAACTACTACACATAAAGCATGTAGAACAAAGCCTAGAACATGGAAAGTGTCAGGTACATGTAAATACATGTTAGCAATTATGATTTTTATTTTCAGTGTGAGTTTTCCCCTTGAGAACATGTACTTGTGAAGACAGCTAGGCCAGAAAAATCTGTATTTAATGGATAAAAGAAACAGAAAGTGTCAGATGGTTAGAGGAAAACCAGAAATTATTTATTCAATAAGTTCTCGAAAGGAAAAAAAATGTCTTTGCTTCATTGCTCCATACTTTGCACTCTGTTTGTATATAGCAAATTTCTTTATTAATAAATTAAAATTAATTATTAAGGAACGGTAGTTTCGCATCTAGTGGAATAATTAATAGCATTCTATTTTATCAGAAAGATTGAAGTTCAGCAGTGCATTGGATGGAGGCAAAGAAGTTGGATGCCTGGAATTCTATATTCATCAATTTTTTCTTTTCATCAGACCATCTGTGCACCACATACTGTGTATAGCCTTAGGAAATGGTTTGTAGCCTTCCCAGATTTTAGGGGATTACTAGCTGGGTCACTCATACTATCCCCAAAGGGAGTTTCTGTTTTCATGAGAGGGAAGACTGCTGCCAAGAAAGGAATTTGAGTTAGAGCAAAACATTTCTAAGCTAAATTTCACATTATGTTATGTTAATTTACTATTGTTGACCTTAAACAAATAGCCAGCCAGGTATCTCTCCAGAAAATGGGTTTATTCAGGAACAACAAATAACTGCAACACAGGACAGTGGTCTAATGGTGAACCACATGCAAGTCTAGAGGACAAAGGAAAATAGCTTTCATAGAGGAAAAGGGGAGTTCAGAGGGGTAGCTGTAAACTAAGTGTCTCTTGGAGGAGACTGGGAGTTCAAAGTGTAGTAACTTTTCATTGGATGAATTATAACAGCCTTTCATTGGCTGAGTGGTTGCCAGGTGAGGAAACGCTATTCCTTCTTCCTGCTGGAGTAGTAGAGTCAAACAACACTTTTCCGTTGGAGACTGAAAGTCCATCTCTTCCTGTTTGGAGTAGTTGACTATGAGTGATAAGTGAAAACTCCCCTACAGGCCCTCAAAACTGCAATTTAAATGAGGTTTCTGCTTATTTATTAATCTTTGTACACTCTTTTCCTGCCATTTCTTTCATTTGTCCAATTATTTTTACTTGGCACTTACGTGTAAAATGCATGCTTCTCAAACATTTTCACTGGATAGTTCCCTTAAAGGTTCTTTTGAAATAAAACAAAGAAAAACAAAACAAAACAAATTCCAGTATGCTGATTCCCCACTAAAAAGTGTGTACACACCCCATCTTTGTCAAAGATAATAGTCTCTACTAATTAAATGCCTAAGAGATTGCCTTATAAACTTTGAAAATACTATATTATTTTATTTTTAGGGTATTCCTATGAGACATGTGTTACTATCTTTATATGATACAGAAAATGTGACTCAGAGAGATTAAATAATGTCCCCACAGTCACACAGCTAGTTTGTGACACAGGCAAGATACAGACACAGATCTACCTGGCTGAACGGTGTTGTTAGCTATCTGTCTCTCTCCGGCCTCACCACTCATCGATGTTTAGGGCATTCATATTTCTAAAACTCCTATTGCTTTTGTACATACTTTTTGTTGGTTAAACAACAACAACAACAAAATGACCATTTAGGAGAGAACTTTACTGAAACTATAAAAAGGCATTTTCAAGGGAAATATGCAATTAAAAGTGTTGGATTGTCCATATTCCAAGCTCTTTAAGCATGGTGGAAAGTTAAAAGTCAAATAAATTCCCCTGCTAGAAAAAGTCTGATACTTATTTTCATATATTGTACCAGTATAATGAAAAATCAAATCTATAAAATATTCAATGGTCACAAATTTGGTAGTTTGAATTTTATCTCATTTTTTTTTAAAAAATTGAGATTAAGCTTTTAATACCAAAAATACAAAAAAATAAGTACAAAAGATAAGGCACAGAAGCACTATAGTATTTTTCACAATTTCTGTAAAAATAAAGCTAAGTTGTTGGGTTTTTAAAAATTTTTTTATTGTTAGTTTCAGGTGTACAGAACAATGCAATAGTTATCCTTTTCACCCTCACAAAGTAACAACCCCCCTCCCCCATCTACTGCCCTCCCACCCCCGATAGCATGCTTATCTAAGCTAAGTTTTGAGTACTGACTTAATTAGAAACCCAAAGGTTGGAGATTTAATTACTTAAGGCGCTTCAACATTTCTTACACTTGACATTGGCTTTCCTACACAAGGACTAGGCGATAATTTGGTTAGCTTTCCCAGGAAGCCGTGATTGCTTTCTGCTGTTGTACCTGCATTCTCTCAAGGCAGAACCAGCAGGCACCTGTTTGCTGACAAGACTGATGGAGACCAGAGGGAATTGTGTAGTTTTAGACTATGGACTTGAAAATCCCAGGCTGCCTGGGTTGGAGGCATGGATTCCCCACGTATTCCTACTATGATATTGGACAAGAGAATTAACATACTTACCTTTGGTTTACTTTTTAAATAAAATGTGCATAATAATAGTAGCTTCTCCAATGAAGTTACTCTGAGTATGAATTAAAAAGATATAACCACGTGTTTAGCATGGTGCCCGAGCTATAGTAAGTTCTCAGTAGGTTGGAAGTTGTTATCCAGCGTCTTGTCCACATTTCACCTTTCAACATTTGTTGACAACTCTCCATTGTGGACATTACTCCCTGGATCACCTTTGCTAGTGGGGTTTGCATTTTCATTTGTTATGGTTGTTTCAGATAATGAGTGTAGAGCCAAGACAGGATTAAACTGATTTGTTTTGCCTGTCTGTAGCATGTAGTAAGTGACTAAGCTCTGGACACAGACTCATTTAGAAACATTTGGGGGACTGATGACTTATTAGCCTCTTGTGGTTTATTAGCCATTAGGATGAATGATGGACTTTTATTGGCTTCAAACCTGGGTAGAATTTTACATGTTCTTCAGCTATGTAGTGGATCTCCAAAAATGTTTTCCAGCTATGCTCTTGTAATTACCAAAGTTTGAATTTTCTACCAAAACCATCTTCTATTAAGATATGCACTCATCTAATTTAATAACATAAATCAGATATGAATTTTAAAAGCCCAAACTTAAGAAAGCACAAAACCTACTACTTACTACAAAATGTACCATCCCCTAGCATTTAACTGATGTAGACATTAATTATGCTCATTAATATTTTTTATGGATTCTCAATTAAAGAAATAATGTAGAATCTGCTGTGGTAGTAATAGATTAAAGTTTACATAAATATCTCTGTATCCTTCATTATTATTTTTATTCAAAAGTACACATGTGCTTTCCTGACATCTGTATTCTAAGTTGTGTGATTCATTATTTTGAAGCTTGGATAACTTGATTTCACATATTTTTCCATGAGTCAGAGGCAAGTGTAACTGTTAGTTTGTTATTGTCTGTACTTTTACATAGCATGCCTGCACTTGCCATCATTTTTCTGCTTTGTGTTTTTAATCTCTCAACCAGTCACTTGGGAATAGTCTTTCCAGTTTTCAGTGAAAACCAGACAAGAATGGCCATGGATCCCTTAAAGATTGGAAATGTTTCTTTGTTATTATTTATTGAATTCCATGAGTTTAAATATAACCAGGAATTCTTCATTAGCTGTTCA